TTATAATACATTTCATGATGCATAATTGATTATAATATTATAATTTCAAATACGATTTTTCATAGTATGTTATATTATAAAGCTATCATATTCTTGAATTCCTCAATTAATATACTTACAATACTTAAAGAATTTTATATTTTAATGAATGAAAAAAATAATTTCTTGTCAAATAATTAATATAAATCTTTTCAGAATAAAATTTGTATATCAATATATATTACTTATTTGATATCATCTAACAATTATAAGTTAAAAGAATGAAATTATTTCCAAATTTCAAATTCTTTTCCTTTGATCTTATTATTGATTAGAAAGCCATGGAAAACTTCTTCATTTCTTCATCAGACTCAATTTACTCATTAAGATTACAAATCAAACTGTGTTGAATAAAGTTACAAAGTGAAAGTCTTAATTAAACCTTCATTACAGACTTTTTGCTGTACTGACGTGAATCTTCAAAATAGATAGAGTATCCAAAGGTGAAGAATTCTTTTCTTCAGAGTTGTAAACCAACTGCCAACTAGTAAAACGTTTTATTTAAAGTATGTACATTTTGTAAAGAATTCTCTATTGAAAAAAATGCGATTCTTTTAGAAGTATCTCGAGAGCAATGTCTCGAAAGCGCGTAGGAAAACGCGCGACTGCGACTTTGATAAATCGAGGATCAAAACTATTAATAATGCCATCTCGCCATTTTACTTTTCTCAACTGCACTCGCGAATCTGTTTCCCTGTCTTCCTCCCCGCCCGTCCCCCTCCTCTCGCCTGTGTTTTCTGTCCTCGCAAAACAAATTCTTCTTGACGCTCGCCGCGGTACTTTGGCGGAGGTGCCGCGAGAGACTCTTAAATTTTCAACGAGTTATTTCGAAACTTTCCTAAACAAGCCCGCGCGCGCGCGACGTGCGAAAGGACAACAAAAGGAACGCTTAGGCCGGATAAAATACGTGCCGACGTTGTGATTGCTTTGCTGAAAAGAGAATGTTAACGAACGTTATGTAACCTATTCGTAGACACGGAGGTACGTAGGCGCAAATGCGAAGATGCGCCCATACGTGTTTTCGCGGCAGGTGACCCAGAAGCTGCCATATTGTTACAGGGGTCGCGCGAAGAAGCTGCGAGAGGCGAAGTTTTGTCCCGAGGCGTATTTAAACTTTTATTCAAAAACTTTTTAGTGCCCAAGTTAGAGGCTGGGTGGGTTAAAGGGTCGCTTGTTTGCAAACCAGAAAGACTGTAGGGTTTAACGAGGAAAGAAAGAGAGAGAGAGAGAGAGAGAGAGAGAGAGAGAAGAGGAGAGAACTGAGGAGGAGAGAGATAGGGATGTGCATGGAAGGTACATTATCAGCCTAACCACCGAGCAGTAGAATGCAGTATCCAGTCGCGTGAAAGCGACTCAAGAAAGCCAAGAGCTCAAGGGAATTAATTAAGAGACGTTTGTACGCGCCGAGTGTTTAAATAGTTTTCTTAATATATGTATATTGGTTAAGAAATGCTAAGGAACGGCGTACTTTTTACACAAAAACTTTTTACAAAAATAAAATTAAAAAACTTTTTATTTTTTACTTTCGGTCGACTCGTTTACAATTTTATTGCTCGACTTTTCCAACACTGTGGAAATTTATTATCGAAAGATATTTTATCTTATACTCTTGGTTTTTTTGGGCTATCCATTTGCCTTTTCGCTTTGGCCTTCAGTTTAGATTTCTAATTATAATGGAAAATTTGGAATGGCATCTGGATTACAATTATGGTATACTTCAATTTAAGAGCGTGAGATTAAAAGAATTTTCACTGAAGATAGCTCGAAATTCGAACGTCCGATCCTACCGTTTAACTTAAATACGAATGTATATATATATATACAATATATATATATACATATATTTATATTTACGCCCGAAATACTACGCCATACTCTCGCTAGTCGATCTTTTTGTTAATTATATTTTTATTGTTCCGTTTTTTTCCACGGCTCGGTATTATAGCTGTAATATTTTCTTTCCTGGAGCAATATTGCAGTAGCTGTTATACGGACAAATTCCTTTGTTGCCTAGCAATTGTCAATCTTACTAAACTTTTCAGACACACATTTTAAAATATTTCGTATCGCTAGGTAGCCAAAACTGTGGTATTTTCGAGTGTAAGACAAATATAAGAAAATTTAATTACTTGGTATTTATTTCCTCTTTAATTTCGCTATATACAGTTTTTATTCGGCGGTCTATATCATTGCCTTAGAAAGAAAAATATAAAATTGATACTTCTGCAACACGGAAAAAATGATCTTGCTGGAAAGTTTATAAAAATTTTGCTGGATACAGATCTGAAAATAATTTTATTGAATTATCATCAAAATCATTTTGTTGGAAAATCAAAAATGATAACCATTGCTGTAAAACTTTGATATTTTAGCAACCAATTTGAAATTCTAACAAAATTGTTTTGATTTGGTCTAACAAAATTATTTTCAGATCTGTATTTAGCAAAATTTTTAAACCTTCTGACAAAATCGTTCTTCCCGTGAACAATATAAAATTTGAAGAGAGAACGAGCATTCTCGCGTTTTTCGAATAGCCGGAGCGGCGTCGGTATATAATTCATATACTTCGAATTACTTCGCGACGTAGTTTTCGAGATCGCATCGACGTACGACACGCGCGGGACCGCGAACGATGGTAGTTTGAATAATCTTCACGATTATGAGGGAACGAAATAAGCGTCAAAGCATCTCGGCTACCGCCGAGTCGCGGAGAACGGGTCGATCTGCGCGGTAGAAGTATACAGGCCCCGTGGCGAATATCAACTTGAATTACACCCCCGGTTGATACGCATTGTACAGAATTATCGTGTAAGTAAAGTTTCAATCTACTACTAGCGCGAGAGGGGCACTGCGCGCGAAACTCTCCCGGGATGCACTTTCATATTTACAAAGATAAGACGCCGGCGCGCCGAGTATAATCTTATATTGTCGACGGCATAATCGAATCAGACGTGGCAGAACGCATTGTCTTATGAGAAGGAGCGTTTGTTAAACATTATACGATTACGCTGCCGAGGGAGTTACCTACCGGAGTAATTACAACTAAAATAAATTAACGACAGCCGTGCCTTTGGACCCGTTACATAACGTATATAACAGTTGCAATTAGTTGATATCTATTAATTAAATAATTATCACTTTCAACTGATTATTATATGTTGATATATTTAACCCTTATTAGTATATAATTGGGTCATTTGTGGTCTCCTTAGTACACCCGATTGGGTCATTCGTGTTAGCTGTAATTAGTTATTACATTTATATACAATTTTGTTGGTGCATAACACTATCGAAAGATACTTTACACTTCTGAAAGATGTTAAAGTATTTATACATATGTAAAAATCACTTAAAAATTTGTACACATTGCACTTATAAAACTTAATCCAAACACGAACGAAACATAACACTACCGAAAGATGTTTTACACTTTCGAAAGATGTTAAAGTATTTATACATATATGTAAAAATCACTTAAAAATTTGTATACATTGCACTTATAAAACTAACCCAAATACGAACGATTTATGACTACTTCTACCATTGTAGATTAACTTTAATCCCAATTCAACTTATTTCCTATCTTTTTCTAATTTTTAGAACTAGAAAAGGATAGAAATTAAGTTAAAGTTAATCTACGTTGGTAGAAATGAACATTATGTGTATAGCAAAGGACCGAAAAGGCGAAAAATCATCGGGTATACTCAGGGTTAAGACTGTAATTCGAAAATGCTAATAGTATATCTGCAGTCATTAGACAATTTTTCCGACGGACTTCGTTTTACTCCATGAAGTGTAGATGAAACGATCGCTTGTTTTATTTTCTTTAAAGTCACTTAAAAAGTAACAGCTCAAAGAGATAATTATCACGATCATTAATATTAAAAATAAAAAAGTTAATCTACTTGAAAAAGAATTATAAATTAATTTAAAAAGTCATAGGTATTTATTGTATTTTTAGATCAAAGAAATGTTATGCGTTAAATGGTAATCGATTAAAACTCGAAGTAAACGTTTTGTAGAAGATTGCAGGCACTTTCCACGATCTTGTTTCTTTTTTTGCCGCGAGATTTTCTCGTGAGAAGGCATTTTGTTCAATGGAACGTCCGTCGGCGTCGAACGCAACAAGTTGAACTTGGCTCGTTTTCAAAGAAGCTCTTAGAATTCATCAAATCCGCCACGCGCGTATGTTTTCTGTCACATCTATTATAAATTAAATTTCGCTTGTTAGAAATGACGGAGCAGCCAGGAACGTAGCTACTATGTGGCAAAAATAAAGCGATAATACAGAAGGAAGGAGTTTTTTCGATCTTTTTATTTTTTTAATAAACTTATTATCATAAATGTGTAAAAAAAGAAATTTTAAATTAGAATTTTAGCTAAATATTAATGTAATTGTTGGACTTTTTTGTTTTAGACTTACTACGTTAGTAGTTTGGCTGTTTTAATTTATATGCTTGTTTTCAAATTTTGTATTTTTACTATTTATTATTATGTATATGTAGATATAAATTTTATAATGATTTAATTACGTAATTTAAGAACGTGAGCACATTAACATATTTGAAAAAGAAAGATTCTTACAAGCTTAATCTTCGTTTTTAAAATTTGAAGCTGACTCAGCTATGTGTCCACTATGTAATATCTGTGTCCACTCGTAATACATAATTACATCGCGTTACTGCGCATAAACCGGTTAAATTTCCACCATCTCGCGTAATTTTGCCGCTGCGGTGCCTTGTATGGTGTAGAATAGTGCATATAGCATAATATTTCGCACACGCGATAAAATCGAATGCAGGAAAGCACGGGGAGCACGGGAGGGGAGAGAGAAAAAAGAGGAAGGAGAGGAGACGCACCGGGGACTGGATTATTGGCGGGTGTAGGAAAAAAAAGGAGAGAAAGGAAGCAAACAGGAGAGTGCCTGGGTTAGATGAGAAAAGGTCCTAATCTATTTTCAGGACGACCGAGCACGCCACCGCCAGCAAAAAGGCTGACCACCGTGTGGCCCTCGTCGTACAACCCCTACTATCCGAAAAGGACAGAGCGGCCGCCTCAGCCGAGTGAGGAGAGGGTCGAGAGGCCCGAGCAGAAGCTACGTGGTGGCGAAAGTACAGGTGAGGCTTGCATTCTCTCACCAGGCCCTCCCTCTCCCGGTTTTATTCTTCTAGTTAGCGCGGCTGACTCCTTTTAAAAGCGCCTCCTTCGCGTTCACGTTCCCTAGCATCACTCGACCTCCCTCCCCCCCCCCTCTCGCCATTGCAATCCTGCTTTTGGCGGCACCGATCTGGTTCTCGGAAATAAATAAGACGTGAAGCGACATTCATGCGCTATTCTGCACCATGCACTTCCGGATATGCAGGGCCGTCGCGCGAAAATCATAAACCGCACCGTGCATTCCGAGATAAATCACCGCGTTAGAGCGCGGCGCACAGAATTTATCAATGTCGGAAATAACGAGAATGATTGTAATATTAATACATTATAAAACCATGGATGTGAGAGATGGAGAGAGAGAGAAAGAGAGAGAAAGAGAGGAGAGAGAAATTTGTAGCTGCGACAGAAATACATCTGTCTTTCTCGTACTGAAGAAGATGGAGATATATCTTTGCCTCTTTTTTTTTAGGATACTGTTACTTCATATGTGCATGTCCGCCATATTCGCGTAGGGCTGAAAAAGAGATATATCTCTGTCCAACAGAGTATTGACTGCACTTTATGTACAGCCGGCGAGATATAGGGATGTGCCAGATATACAGAAAAATATTTTAAAAGCAAATTTATCAAACTAGATACCTGAAAGCGATCGTGGCTCGAATTTTTAGCATAAATTACAATAATATTTAATACGAGAAGGAGGATTTTCGTGTTTAGGGAATTAAGGTTTCACGAATATATAAGAACGGATATCGGCGATGTCCGGGCGACACATATCCTTGCCGAAAAAATATTGGATTAGTGAAGAAACTGTATAAAAAAAGGAACAGTACACAACATTCAATTTAAAAATTTTAATTTTTTAAATGTTTTTTTGCAAATCTAATAGTCGCAAGTTTAATATTTTTTCCATAAGAGATAACTCGTATAAAATCTATATAACGTTCTAATCTAAGGACTTTACGATCTGTATGAAGTAATTATCTCGCTGTATATCTCGTTTCGCTTCTCTCGGTGTCGTGATAAGATGCAGTCGTGACAAAGCCCGAAATATACGAACAGGCGCTCCGATCGTTAACGAGATAACGAGCTTTAGCGAAATGGCCTGAAAAGCCATTTCGTTCCGTCGCCATTAAATTCAGGCCGGAAGCGTAGCGTGCCCGGGACGGAACCTCTAATAAGATGTTTACTCCTTAATGACTAATGTCGTGATTATGCTAACTAGCAGTAAATAAAGCTGCGTATTCGCGTTTTATAATTTGCTTATTTTGCCCAATTTTTTTCACTTACGTTCGGGATGATTCTTATCGTCAAGCAAAATTGTTCGTACACGGAATATAAAGTGATATTGTATTAACAGTAGTCTAATTGAAAATAATCTTGTTCATTCGATAAGAGTATTAAAAAAACAAATAATAATTTTATTAAAACAAGAGCGTATTTGTTTCATTAATAACGCCATTGAATTAACAAGATTATTTTCAATTAGATTGGCTGTTGCTAATTCTGTAATACATTTTTTTTTCGTGTAAAAAGGTCTTATGGAGGGTAAGAGCACTAAGACGTGGATAATTTATTATATTTAAATAATTATATTTTATTTTTCAAATGGCACATATCACAAGATTCTTTAGCATTTGTGTTAGCTTTATCAATCGCCATTGTTTTTTGTTTATTAGCAACAATGCTTATACATTTTGATACCATTTAAGTAATAAAACGTCAATTGAGAGAGAGGTATATATTTTTAAAAATTTATTCAACGTTTAATACCTATAAAGATTGCCTTATGGTTTTTACGGGAGGTAGTAAATAGTATTAGATTTAAAAAGAATTCAATCAAGCTCACAATAAGTTAATATTAAATATGTTTCACGAGTCTGATCCACAACTACTTAGATCCAGAGGTATAATTATGGATAACTTTTATTATTTCATTTAATTAAAATAAAAAAATTTAAATTAGTGTTGATATTTAATAAAATTATTTATAAAGTATTCTGTTTAATTAATTACAAATATTAAATATGTTATTGATCGTTTAATTTGAATTATTATTTTTAGATGCAAAATTAGTGTCTATTATTAGATCACAATGCGCAAACAATGCAAAATTGTGACAATTTGATTTTTATGAGTATTGCTTTGAAAACGCAGAGTTTACCTTCGTAAACAATCCTTTTTTTTTCATTTCTTTTGTTTTAGGTATATAACTCTTCGAGAAAATTGGAAACTTCGAGCCGAGTCAAATTTGCATTTTCATAACGAATTGCAGCGAATTGTTTGCGTTAGATTCGGTAAGATTAATTGCACTTTCGAATAAATCGCGTCAGGTTAATTTTTTGCAAACGCGCGCGCGCGGACGCGTGCAAGAGAGAGAAAGAATGATTTCGCGCGAATATGGTTATTCAGCGGCGCGGTACGTGTCGTCACGTGCGCAGATATATTAAGCCAAGTAACGAACGTCAATTTTCATTGAAACATTTGTTACTTTGTTATTGTGATACGTACGGGGCCGCGCGCACGCACCATCCATAACAAAATCTGTAGGACGTTATTATATGGCAAATGCGTGTCAACTATGAAGCATTGCATGTGTGTCTGCCATTCGTTTTCATTCATTAGGGGTTGTTAGCGGTGTAATATTTTACTACATCAAGACACGACTAAACGCTAAATCACAAAAATCTCGACGTAAGCGTCGTAATTTTCCTAAGTTCATAAAAACCATCAAAATTGGTGCGGTTACCTGCATAACATTGCTATATTTTTTTATTTTTAACATATACTTCCGTTATATTATAGAAATGAATTTTATAACGGAATAATTATATTTTATTCTTTGTTTATCGCATCAAAAATATGGAATCAACGTGGCAAACAGTTTTCCTATAACAGCGATGTGGATCTTCAAACAGACTTGATTTCTTCATTATTTCATTTTTGTTATATTTATTTCACGAATCTTTTGACGGTAGTGGAACCCGTTATTAAAGAAATGAAATCATAAAATTGCATTAACAAAAGTTATCACAAAGCTGTCCACTCTTTACTAAGGATCAACGAGCACCAGCGCGAAGATAAGAAACAGCAGGAAGTCCTTATCTTACAGGTATAATAAATACAGAAACCTTGCAGTCAGGGCGCCACTCGTCGATGCGCGCGCGATGTATTCGAAAGAGCTGGAGATGTGCCGGCGATAAAAACGCCACGCGCCCGCTGTGGTTTCACGCCGGAGCGACGAAGTTCAACTTATTCATGTGCCGCTTTTGTACAACGTATTAAAGATGCAACAATGACCCGTGTTCCTTACGCGATAACGTCCGTATCTCTCCCCACCCTTCTCTCTCTCTCTCTCTCTCTCTCTCTCTCTCTCTCTCTCTCTCTCTCTCTCGCTCGCAACCACGGAGAACCGACACCGTATTTCACTGCGTTTTTTTACGGGGGCTTGCTATCGCGCGCTCTAGCGTTCCTCGTGAATATTTAATCTAATAAAATAGTGAAATAAGTCCGCACGCCAGAAATACCGCGGAACACGTGCGCCAGTTTCCTTACGACCGAAGCTGCAGCTGCAACTGCGGCATGCCTCGCGCTGCCGTGGCGCGTAATACGTATAGGAGCGTTATTCTGTGTATCAGGGGGGGGGGGGGGATTTTACGCAAAAATCCCACGTATTTCGCTGACTGATCTCCGCAGACTCGTCTTGCGGGCCGGGGGAGGGAAGGAGGGAGGAATTGTTTATTAATGATTCCAACGGCGTCCAGTTTTTAATACTAATTCGCGGCGCTCAATTAATTAATATCTGATTTTACTCGTGCAGGAATTAATGTGAATTTATATGCGATATATATATATATATATATATATATTACGGTAAAACGTTCTCTCAGAGAGATAATGATACATAATAATGCTATATTTTAGCATTTCGAAGTTCAGGGTAAAGGTACCGTAATAATTAAATTCTATTGAAAATTTTATCTGTATTTATCACGGCAATTACATGAATGTCACATGAAACACATGCATACATATATAAATGCACATGATTTTAAATTAATTTAATACGGTGAACAAGTTTTAAATTAATTTAATATGGTGAACAGTTTTAAATAAATTTTATATGATATATAAATAACTTTAATATAAATTTGATATAACATAAAAATGTTGCGTACATTGCTTCTGCATTATCATACATTTCTATTTAGAGTTGTAAATTTTTTATATTGAATAAAAAAATTGCATAAATAAAAGGAACTTTTAGATATTTTAATTCGCGTGAAATATTTCAGTTCGGTTCTTTGTTTAAACTAAAGCTGCAAAACAATTAATATATCTTCTTCAATACGCGCTCTAATAATCAATTATGTACCACGTTGCCAACTGTCAACATTACACCGTAAACAAAACGAACTGCGTTCGCGATAAGAGACGTGTAAATACACAAGGTATGGAATGCGCTCCGATTCCGACCTGTATAAATGCCAGCACCAGACGGTTCATGGTGATTAGCGAAGCGTCTACGCGCGATATCGACGTCGTCTAACGACGCCGTGGTATCGCACGTCTATCGGGTGTGCCGAGATTACCCGTGCTCCTTCGTCGGATTCATCCCGGATGCGATTTAGATTTTTTTCGACGTTTCTTGAAACGGCGCTCTCAGTATTATTGTAAAATTATGTATTGTACAATATTATCAATGTTCGTTTAATACAATTTAATACAAACTCTCAATACAACCTCCAGATGATCAATAATATTGATCGTTTAGGGACCGTTTGAGTAAAGATTAGATTGGGCAATCTATATTAAATATTCCTGCAATTTGTATCGTATTGTATTATAGTTTGTAAGTTCCCAAGTTTAAATTCTGTGGCTTATTTATGCTAAAAAGAAAGGACGCTTTTGCCATTTACTCGCGCGTCTAAATGCGAGTGCGGAAAATTCATCGGATCTC